TCGGCCTCAAACGGAGCACAGATAGCCCTGCGGTAGGAAGCGGAGGGAAGGCGGATGGGTGGCTGGATAGGATAGTGTGGGCACATGGCACGTCTTCTCTGGGAAGTAGGAAGCCGCGGGCTGGGCCTGCAGATGCGGGGCTGGAGGGAGGAGGTGTCTGGGAGCACGGGAGAGCGAATGGACTGGGGAGGCATACTGTGCTCCTTGGGCCCTCCTGAGTCACGGATCACAAATTTAAACTGAGCCCCGTGCGTGAGGTGGTAAGTCAGGTGCTGGGTGGAGGCGGCAGAGGGTGGAGGGCAGGGCGGGGAGGTGAGGGTGTGTGCAGGGGAAGGATTAGTGAGATGGACCACGGAGACCAGTGAAAGGATTAGGGGGTCTTGCCTGGGCAGAGCTGTGGGAGTCGGCGCTACAGGGAGCGAGCTGGACGGATGGGAGGTGGTGGCCAGACGGGGCGGCGCCCGGAAGTGCCCCGGGGAGCCGCTGCAGTCCCTGCAAGGTCTGGGGGACCTGGAAGTGAGGGGCTGGGGAAGGATAGAGGCCCTGACCGTCAGAGGAAGAGGTCAAAGAATAGAGGGAGCAGGGGCAGGAAGGACTGTTGTGTGCGCATAGTGAGGTCAGCAAGCGTTCTGGCAGGAAGGACAGGAGCTAAACTCACCAGGGGTGAGGGGGAGGAGCGGGGCTGGCCATGCCCACCACGAGGAGGGAGCAGGCTGTGGGCTGTGGATCAAGCACAAGTATGTACGCACAGGCACACACAGTAGGTGCTTGGTAACTGGGAACTGCTTCCATCAGTAGTATTTCAGTGCCCAGAGTGTGGAACCTGAGATCACAGGACAGAACTTAAAATCAGGATGTGCCCGAACATCTATGGTATGGGATTTGCGGGCATCTGTTTCTAGAAGGTGTGGTGTCTGCAGGGCCTGCCTGTTGCCCTCTTTCTGCAGGACCCAGACACCCTCAAGTTTGTCCCTGGCCTGCAGAGTGGTCCCACCAGGCTTGTCAAGAGCAGCAGGGGTGGACAGATAAATGGGCAGACGGGAACGCGGGCTGAGCCCTGGAGCCAAGGGTGAGACCGAGGACACGGGCCTGGCCCCCTTCCCAGGGTCAGGGGCAGCCCCTGGCTGTCGGCTGTGATGTGTGGTGCATTTCCCCAGCCAGCGGCCCGGGCCCGTCATGCCCGCCCTGGGGGGCAGAAGCGGGGAAGGTGCTGAGCAGGGTCAGTCTGTGTGTTGGGGGGACGCCCCCCAGGGTGAAGGCTCTGAGGGCAGCCCCTGCATTGCGGGGCTGGGAGCCTCACGCTCTGTGGCTCAGAGCAGCTAGGGATGCTTGCGGGGGACAGGGGCCCTCTGCCCGGGTCTCCTTCTCAGGGTAGGGGCACCAAGACAGGCTTGCCAGGGGACGTTTGCGGTGACACCTGCCACGTGCCCACTGAGTGGTCAGAAGCCTGAGCTCAAGCCCCGTCCTTCTCACTCACTACCTTCGTGAGCTGCACTCACCCCCACACCAATCTGAGCCTCAGCTTCTCATCTGGTGGGGGAATCCTAATTCTGCCTCTCTGCTGGGCACGCACGTGACCTCCAGGGAATGAGCATGAGGATGGCACCAAGCGGGATGCAAAGTTTCGTGTTTTCCTCAGCTGTGGCCTCGCTGCAACCCGGGTTCCACTCCCTTCTCAGAAAAGCTTTGGATGGGAGTGGCGGGATTCTGTTTCACGCTGGTCCCTCCCTGACTGTTGAGACCCACATTTTAAGGAGCACTTCCTGCATTCTCTCCTTCCCTCACTCAGTGGCCCATCGGTGCTTGCCTGCTACATGCTGGGCAGGGATAAGAGAATTTCCAGTGATGCTGGTCTGTGGAGGAAAGTGCTGAGGGCCATTAGCAAGTCCTTCCTTGCATTTTCTTTGTCATTTGGATCAGCTCCAGCTGCCTTCCCTGGGGAGAACCGCTGTCCCTGGAGGCCTGGCCAGGCTGGACTGGCCAGAGAGACTGTCCTGATGGCAAGCAGGGCAGTGCAGTAGCACCAAGAGAGCTGGGCCCTGCACGCAGTAGGTGCCGGGGGATAGGATGAAGGGGGTACTACCTGGAAAATCCCTCAGAGGCTCTTCCTTGGCTGGTGTCCAGCTCTGCCCCACCCCATCATCCTTCAAATGTGGTCAGGTTGCTGAGACATTGCCTCTCTGTGCAGAGGCCAAGTTCACCGTTTGACCTTGTGTTGGACCAAGGAATTTGAACTATGGCCGTCCCGTTACTGCCTGTCGCGGAACAAGCCATCTAGCCGTCCAGGCACAGCCGTCTCTTCCGTGACTCGGGCTGGTCTAAGCTCTGGAAGCCCTGGGACAGTGTCTTCATAGGGTGCACACCCCCACAGGGGCGCCTTATTCCGGGGCCACTGGCTCTGACCAGTGGGTCGCAGGGGCACCCCTTGGGGTGGGGCCAAGCTGGGGGAGCCCTGTGGGTCAAGGGGCTATGCACAACCCCCTCATTGAGAGTCCCGCCGGCTGTGCTCCAGGGGAGAAAAGTAATAAGGAGCAACTTGCACTTACTATTGGTATAAATCCCACAATCAGGAAAATTGCTTCAATTGCTAAAAAACGCTGGTGGGAAAGTCCATTTATTTTTCATTTTTCTTGTGCACTTGCCCCCCTTACGCATGAATCACTGTCGGTATGTAGATTAAATTTATACCCCCGTTATCTTTCATGTGTCTGGGGCTCTGGTGTCAACTGGGTTTCTGGTTGCTGAAAGCCATGGTCTGCTTCTTTGTGGGGAGAGAAAAGTGGTCCTTTCCCGGGGGTGGGGGGGGAGGGTCCTCATTCTGTTCCAGAGCCTCCCCTCAGCCCTCCTCCCCTTGACAAGATCAGACTTGCTTTTTGGAAAACCCTCGTTCTTCTCTGGAGCTGTTTTGGCCCCAGCATCTGCAGCAAAGGATGTGGACATTGGACTTTTGGTGTTTTATGGGAGAGGGTTTGCAGGGAGCATGCTGAAGGTACGGTTTCGTTTTTAACGCCTGCTTTGTGAATTGGCCTGGAGAGGATCTACAAACTGCAGGCATTCTGAAAATCCACTCTAGTAACACATATACACACAGGCTTCCTTTCTCTTTGTCCCTCAAACACACACACGCACCCACTCACAGAGGATAGAACTGGGTGCCTGCCTGCCTGCCTTCCTCTTTAACATGGGTGACCCAGTTGGACAGCAGCTGTGGAAGAAGCCTGGTTTCACCTGCATTCTGGGAGGTGTAGAACTCTCTAGAACGGACAGTATACTCTGTTCTCCACCTGCAGATTTAGCCATCTCTGTGTACATCCTCTATAAAGGGTGGTTCTTTATTAGCTGATTTATTCATTCAACAAATGTTAACTCTCCGTTTCTGGATCCCGTACCCCTTTGATAATCTGATGACACACACTTCTGAATGACTTGGGGGTAGTTTGCAGAGTCCATCCTGAGCTGTGGGCTGGAGAAGACCTGCTCTGGAGGCCTGCTTCTGCGCCCCCCACCCTCCTCGCCACACCAAGGTCTGCGGTCCTTCCGAGCCAGACACCCCAGCCCCTCACACCCCAACACCCTTCTCAGACCTCGTCTCAGAAGAGCAGTCCCCTGGGCCACACTTCTAGACTTAGAGCCCCCCCCCCCCACTCCACTTCTCTCTCTGCGACACCACGTGGCTGGACGGGGAGCTTCCGAAACGGCAGCTGGCCGTGCCTGCTCCAGGCCCCTGGCGCCCCCCAGCAGGTATCATTACTGCATAAGAGACCCATCATTCTGCATTAATCTGGGATTCATCATGATAGCCATGACCATAATTAATTTATTTGGTATTAATGTGGATGAAATATGTACTGTCCTTTCAGGGGAAATCAGGCTGCCTATAAGCATTAGTTAAAAGGACCATTAAAATCAAACCTTCCCCAGATCCATTAGGCGAAGTCTTTCATCCTGAAGAAGATAAAGTTCTGCTATGTGAAATGTCATGAATAATTAGGTTGATTGCTGTTTTAAACTCTGCCCCTGCCTCTCCAACCCCTCCCGCCTCCCTCCCGAAGCAGGCGAGGCTCACCTGCCGTGGAGCATCCCCTTCATCACCCCTGTCTACACTGGCCCCTAATTCCCCTCTGGCCTCTACGACCATCCGTGTGGCTCTGTGTCTATGGACGGCATGGGGAAGGGGCTTCAATGACCCCATTAGACTCTATTTTCAGTGGGTCTCCTTCTCCCCACTTCCCACCCTGGGCCCAGGGTGGCGGCAAGCACCTTGCTCTTGCCTCAGTGCTGGTCCAGAAAGACGGAGACCAGGGAGAGGGCCGAAGCAGCATCGTTCAAACTGAGGTCTGCAGAATCCTTGCCCGGAACGGTTCTGGGGTGGGAAAATGCAGATTCCTGGGCTCACCTCAGACCAGCACATCTCAGGGGCTGTGCATGGGAAGGGGATGGAGGCTGGCATGGAGGGCTTTGGTGTGTGCCAGACGAAGGGGAGAGGCGGGAGAGAGAAGCCTTTGGGAGAGCCCTGCTCTTGCTGCCAAAGCCAGGTTTCTCCAGAACTGCACTGTGGACACTGGCATGTGGGGTATCCTGGCTCCTCTTGCGGGAGCACGTGAAGAAGCGCTCGCTGGATGCCCATGAACACACGCAGTTGCCCAGTGGGGCTGGTCCTCGAGGCCTCACTGGAAAGCTGAAATCCAGGGTGCGGAGGCTGAAGCCACCTGCTCAGAGGGGACTCAGGGCGTACTGACCGGGCAGGTGGGAGCCCTGGCGTGTCAGCCTCGGAAGAGGCACTGGAAACTCGCTCTGCTCCAGCCTCTTCATTTGGTGGTTCAAGAGCCCGGGCTACAAAGCAGGGTGGCTAGCCGGAGACTAGGGGGCGGGGGGCCGCGGACATCGATGCCCATGGACACCCCGGAGTGGTGGGTGGGAGAGGGGCTGATATGATGCGAAATGGGGGGACAGCCAGCCCCCCCCCACTATGCTCTAACCCCTTCGTGCTGCCCTGACAGGCGCTTCGGCACAAAATGCACAGCCTGCCAGCAGGGCATCCCCCCGACCCAGGTGGTGCGCAAGGCGCAGGACTTCGTCTACCACCTGCACTGCTTTGCCTGCATCATCTGCAACCGGCAGCTGGCCACGGGGGACGAGTTCTACCTCATGGAGGACGGGCGGCTGGTGTGCAAGGAGGACTACGAGACGGCCAAGCAGAACGGTAAGCCAGGCCGGCCCGCACGTGGCTGCTGCGGACCTCTGTCCAGGCCGAGCCCTTGGAGCCCTGCTCCCACCCTGCCTGCTCCGAGAAGCGTCCCCAGACGCCTGTGGGACAGTTCACGTCATCCCCCATGCCTGAGCCCGGGCTGGCTTCGCTGCAGCCTCGGTCGGGTGTCGGGTGGTGGGCAGGCCCGGCCCCGATGCTGGTCGGAGGCTGAAGAACAGCCGGGACCTTGAGCTCTGCGTGCCGGTGGCTCCTTGCCTGGCAGGGGGCTGGGACGGGGCGCTGTCTACCGTGGACCCTGGGGGTTGCTCACCAGTCTTGTGTACTGGGGTGCACACTGACCTCGGTGCTCCCACACCTCAAAGGCTTCTGTCAGGGAGAGCAGGAGCGTGGCCTACGTTGGCCCCCCATACTTCAGCTAAGTGTGTTCTGTTTCCCCTCTCAGACTGCGGGCTTGTCGAGGGCAGGGCCTCCCCCTTCCTCGTGAGGTGAGGACCCCTTGTGTCTCCCAGAGTCCCTGGTGCAGGAGCCAGTCTTCACGCTCTGAGAGACTCCAGTCAGCCACAGGACTTCCCGCCCACCCTGCCCTACCCCAGCACCCCCCCCGCCCCCCAGGCCTATTGTCCAGGGTCATGGTGGAGGCCTCTACAAGGCTGACGCTGATGTCAGGCCCCAGGGTTAGCTGCTCTGCCCTCCAGTGCCATGTTCCCGAGCAGCCCAGGGCCTTTCCAGGGCCTCGACCCCCCAGGAAGGCCAAGCTCCCTCTCCCTCCCCTGGAGCCCCACCTCTGCTCCTCACTCACAGCTGTGTCCTCAGGCGCTGCGCCCTTCACCCTGGCTCCAGACTTGGCATTTGGCCAAATTCCACCTGGGAATCTCAGATGCACAAACTCACAAAACATCAAGGTCCATTTGCCTTGGACTAGAATTTTTATCAACTCGGGGTGTTACTGCAAAAAGCAGCTCTCAACAGCTCTGGGCTTGATGGCAAAAAAAAAAAAAAAAAGCAACAATTTCATGCATCTCCTTCTAGATCTTTCCTGTGCGCCTGAGTCAGAGGCTCCCACTCTCTTCTCCCAGAACCCCCACAGTGCTGGCCTTCTGGGATGGACAGGCCTTCAAGTCCCCTTTCTCCTCTTTCCGGGGCCTCAGCAAGCCTATTCCCGGGCTCTTTGCCTTAATGTATTCATCTACTCGGGTTCCTTAAAACTCCCCCGATGTTGCTGCTTTGGAGTCAATTATGATGTCCGAGAAGATTAGGGCATCTTGTCGGGGATAAACCATCAAAGCAGATGGATTCAGAGATCCCAAGCTGCCTTTGGAACTCTGAAGCCCTTCCCCAGAGATACCAGGAATGCGTGACCTCCCTCCAAGTCTCCGGCTGCTTCTCCTTATCAGAGGCCTTGTTTAGACCCTGAGCATTCATGGCCTAGCATCCACCTCTCCTGGGGATGGTTCAAGAGGAGGCGGAGCCTAGCTGGGAAGGCAAGAATGAAAAAGAAGCCAACACTTTTATCAAGGATTGTTTGTGCCACACCAGACCTCTGGAGGACACTGGATTTGGCGTCAGAGGCTGGTGGACATCTCTGCTCAGTCACTAACTTGGGGGCCCCCTTGGTTGAGCCTTGGCTTCTCAGCTCTGTATGGGGGGGGTGGGTAATAGCACCTGCCACACAGGGCTGTTTCCTGAGGTTTACACAGGATGGCGCCTGTGCAATGGGATGCTAAATGAGGGTGAGAGCCACGAGGAAGAGGAATGTCAACAGCGGGGTGAGAGCTGCTTTAGGTTTTCAAGTAGCCGAAGGTTACACAGTATTCCTGATGCCTTGCTCCTGCCTCTGGCTGTCCGTGCAGAGGCCACTCCATCCTGTGAAATCGGGGTGACCCTGAGTGCAGCAGGGGACTTTGTCTGCTTTGGGACATTTGGTTCTTTTTATGTTTTAATTCCTCCTTGCTGATCCAAACCCCCTCTCAGGCTTACAGTTGCTTCCCCTTGTGCTACACAAAGGACCTAATATCAGCTATTTGTACCTTCGTGTGAATGATTTTGTTCATTTGTTACATCTCCCTGGATATTTGCATTTTCAATATAATGAGGTTGCATTTTATGCCAGGGACAAGTTCTAGGAGAGACCCTGCATAATTCAAAACCAACATATTTGAAGACTAATTTTCCCAAAGAAATTAATGTAAAAAGTAGGGGGGGATGTATTCTGGAAGCACATAAATCCATAACCGGTGAAGTGTATCTTTGCCTTAATGCTACTTTTTATTTTCTCAGCACTATCTCTAATACCTTGCAGAATGCTCTCTCCTAAATTAACAGCCTAGGATATCATGGTCTCGCTTGGCCTTCTTCATAGCGTTTTATCACATTTAACTTCCGTACCAAAGTTATTGATTTTTGGGTACATTTTTCAGCACGAGCACTACCACCACTACTTAATGAATACTTGGATGACATTGTTATAGGATATAAAAAAGATTTTAAATTATAATAACAGTGAATGTTAAAATAACAGCATGATAGTCCCCATAATCGCAAGAAAAGAAAGTCCTGTGCACGTAGACGGCAGTTTTGAACCCATGGGCCACCAACCCAGGATGACGGGTAGATCCCAGTGGCCACGGTGAAAACAGTTGCTAAATCACTAGGCCGGCCTATTTAAAAATTAGACAATTCTTGATGAATTACATTATTTTGCTGATTTCATTATTTCAAATTTTAGATCTAAAGAGTGTAGAGATGTTTTAAAAAGTGCACTATTTCATATTGGCATCAAATGCTGTCCTGCTGTTGTCTCTATAAATAGGGGCAGAAGGGATGGATTCCTTAGGACAGAATTTAAAGAACTTTGAGGGTTTTCCACCGTCTCCGCCAGAGCAGAAAACAGCCCAAGCAGAGAGGACTGGGGACTTCATCCTCCCTCCGCCGTGGGCATGACTGCCGTGCAGACTCGGGCCAGCCTGCCACCCGACTCAGGGCAGGTGCTGGTGCCCCGGGCTTCAGAGTGGGGAGGGGACTTGCCCACGTCACTCCCTCACTCAGCAAGAAAGTTGAACCCAGGTCTTCCAGCGGCAAGAAACACTTTTCAGAATTGTCGTGAGGATTGTTTGCACATCAAGTTCTCAGATCACACCAGGCACATCGTAGGTGCTTAGCAAATGTTGGCCATTGTTGATCCTAAGAGAGGGTTTTCTTGAAAGGAAAGGAAGGTAGGAATGTAGCAGAGACATTTTAGAGGACCCAAGGAAGGGAACACAGAAGACCCAGAGAGCCAAGGACGCCGTGGCGGTATGTGGACTCGGGGGTGCCCTGCGGAGAACGGGCGGAGGGCTAGCGCCAGGAGAGAAGACACACCGTCCGCTCTTGGCTGTGTGCTCCCGAATGCGCCCAGGCGCCTCTGCACCAAACTGAACAAACCAGCTTCTGACTACCGGAATGCCAGGCTTATCTGCTCAGAATCCACTGAAGACTGTGGCTCGGTCGGTGTGTTGTCCTGAACACTCTTCAGACCAGTGGTTTTCAAAAAATTTTGACTATGACCCCGAGTAAGAAACTCATTTTCAACTCAGCACACATGTATTCATACCGTGAACACTTAAGCAAGTCCTGTGAAACCACACTTGCCCTCATCTCTCCCATCCCATCCCAGGCATCATATTCCCCCCCAAAGTTTTTGATCCACTCAACTGACAGTACAACTCACTAGTGGGTTCTGACCCATAATTGGTGGACACTGCTTAGATGGCTAGTGAACGTGTTGGTTACCCCTGCTGAGCTCAGCGAGGCCACCACAAAGGGACCTGGGAAATGGGAGGCTCCTCAGGGGAGGAGGGGCAGAGGTGTCTGGAGGCAGCCCAGAACACACGTCATTCACCCTGGCTCGTTGGCCTTCACAGCCCAGCTAATGGTTCACAGGATGTCCAGCCAGTGTTTGCCATTTCCGGGAGGCACATGGAATTGTACACCTTCAGTCTGGTGGGAGCCCCTGTGTGGCTGGGCTGGCGGGGGACGGAGACGGGCAGGGAGCTGAGGGAAGGACCGTTGTCCTCACTTTTCCATGACTCGGGAAGGCCTGTGGTGAGGAGTGGGCTCCGTGGGGGTGGTTCCCATTCCTTCCCATGGCTCTGCCCACGGTGGGCAAGACTGCGTGAGGAGAGGAGGAAGGGCATGAGCCCCAGCGGCTTTGGGCAGGCAGAACCCAGTAAGGAGGGGTCTTCAATGCAGATGACTCCGAGGCTGGAGCCAAGCGGCCCAGAACCACCATCACAGCGAAGCAGCTGGAGACGTTAAAGAACGCCTACAAGAACTCCCCCAAGCCTGCCCGGCACGTGAGGGAGCAGCTCTCCTCGGAGACCGGCCTGGACATGAGGGTCGTACAGGTGAGACCCCGGGCCCCTGGCCTCCTCCGCCGTCTGGGGCTCCCAGGCCTGCGCCCTCCTGCTGGGGGGTGGCCTGGGCTGGGGTGCGGCTCTGTGCCCTCTCACTCTACAAGAGGGAGGCTTAGGGAGCGCCGGGGGGAGCTGGGCTCCGGGCCGTGACCCGGGGAAGCTTGTGGAAGCAGAGACGGAGGCAGAGATGGAGGCAGAGGGGCACGTCACGCTCCCGGCCCTGAACTTCAGGGCCTGTCTCCAGCTACCTGTCCTGGGGACCCTGGGGGCCTTGGGTTTGTGGTGGCCACCTGCTGAGTGGGTCCCTTCTGCTTGTGTGGCAGGTTTGGTTTCAGAACCGAAGGGCCAAGGAGAAGCGCCTGAAGAAGGACGCGGGGCGGCATCGCTGGGGGCAGTTCTATAAGAGCGTCAAGCGGAGCCGGGGCGGCAGCAAGCAGGAGAAGGAGAGCTCTGCAGAGGACTGTGGGGTTAGTGACAGTGAGCTGAGCTTCCGAGGTGAGCAGGGCTGGAGGGGTGAGGCCGAGGCCTTAGGAAAGGCCCCTGGGAAACAGTAATTCTTGACACGCAGGGGGGATCTTTCTTGAAGCCTTGACAACCGCCTCCCGAAGCCAGGCTCTTCCCCGTGACTTGCAGTAAAGGGTGGGGGGTGGCAGTGGCCCTTTGAGACGGGACAAGGAATAGGAAACAAGAGAGTTCTGCTGCTGCAATGTGGAAGCTGGGTTCCCCAGGACCATGGGCCCCAAGGCCTCCCCTCCTTTCCTGCTGACTGGGGCTCTCTCACCGGCCGTGCAGCTGGGAACAGACAACTGTGTGTCTCAGCCCCTCCCTCGGCCCCTCTCCTGCATTCCCCTCCTTTGCAGGGGCCCTGGCCTCCCTCCCAGGATCCCCTGCAGTAACCACTTCCTCCTCTCCTGGTGATGGGGTGGTCGTGCTCAGGAGGCCCTTTGCCCTGGGAAAGTGATACTGTGAGTGTGTGCCGGATGGGGACAGGCCTCGCTTCTGAAATCCCCTCCCCCACTGCTCACTTCATCCTGTCCCCTGCACAGAAGCTTTGCAGCATGCGCTACATTCAAATCTGGGCATCAGCAAAATGGCGAACCACTGCATGTTTGGGATCCCGAGGTTGTTTGCAAATAGCCATGACTATTCTCAGTCACTGAGTCCTCAGCTATGGAAGGTCCTTTGTTGTGGGTGGATAGAAAGAGTAGTGAGTTGGGGGGGGGGCTCAGAAATCTGGTTGCCGGTTGGGGCTCTCTCAGATCGATTCACTTTTCTTGAGTCTCAGTTTCCACATCTGTAAATGGGGAATAACTACATCCTCGCCCATCTCAGTGTTGTTGTGGGGTTTGATGACCACAACCGACTGTGGATGTGTTGGGGTGAAGCTCAGCACAGTTTTACGCTTGGAAGTCACAACTATCCCCACAGGGAGCGTGTGCCCCCCCCCACACACACAGAGGGTTGTATGGAATGACAGGTGTCAGCGAAAGGCCAAATAATGGCCATTTTCCGGTGGAGCTGAGCCTTCATCGTTCTGCTCCCTTTAAAGAGCATGAGATCTCCTTCCCCCTTTTCATTTTCAGGGTGGAGTGGTGGGGTGCAGGCCTAGGGCAGGTTGTCAGAAGGAATGGGTGTTGAAGTCTAGTCTGGGGAGGCTTGATGGGAGCTGATGCACAGGCCCAGGGTGGGAATAGAGAAGGAGGTTCATGGGGCAGAGGACGGAACCTGCTGCTGGCCAGAGCATGATGCCCTCAGAGGACTGTCGCTCACTTGGGAGATCTGTCCTGTGGGGCCCTGGGAAGGGCTCAAGAGCCTATGCTCACCTTCCAGTCCTGTTGGTAAAGTTAGGAAAGCCATTTAATCTGATCTGAGCTGCCAAAATCAACATCTGGAACATGCAGGGTCATTACATCTTGCTTTGTAGCTCTTTTCTGTTGGGTGCAGGTGGGACCCCAGGTTGACATGTCATGGGTCTCTCTGGGTAATTACAGAACTCTTTATTTCTTAAGACTAAAACCACTCGCCTCTGTTGGAGAGATGAATTCTTCTAGGTAGCACAGGATGCATTAGAAACCCTTAATGAAATTCTTCAAGAAACAAGAAGGTCCATTTGCCTTAATCAAGTCAATACTTTGTCCCCAGTGAAGAGCTTATTCGATAGAGAAACCGAGTCCTTCGATATTGAACCGCTTCTCCAGGTAGACCAGAAGGATTTTGTATACATGCCTAAGAGTGGCCCTCAGCTACCCTTACCACATGGGCCTGCTTCTTTCCCAACCAATGGAAACCAAGCACTTTTCTCAGCCTGAAAGCTTTCAGATTAAATTTTGTCAGCACGTAGTTTCCATTTGTGAGGCTGATAACGTATGACCCACAAACCTCAGGCATTCATATTCTTTAGTGTAGCCATCTTAGTCCGTAAGCCACATGGGACCAACAAACTCAGCAGACATTTGTCCAGCCTTCTGGGATCTGCCTTCAGGCTCTGCAGGTGTTTCTTCTGTGTTTCCCCTCAATGCGGGTCAGTCTCTGGCTGCCAGGTTGAGTGTTGGCATCTGACTCATGCATGGCAGTGAGGCGGCTGCCATCCTTGGGCGTCTTTCTTGGTCATGTGTATTCCTAGGTTGTGAAGAACAGGGACCACTGGAGTCCTGGCGGCTGACAATAAATCTCCGTTCTTTTGTCCACAGAGGATCAAATTCTCTCAGAACTTGGCCACACCAATAGGATTTATGGCAACGTGGGGGACGTTTCAGGCGGACAGTTAATGAATGGGAGCTTCTCCATGGACGGGACAGGACAATCCTATCAGGACTTGAGGGATGGGAGCCCCTATGGAATCCCCCAGTCTCCCTCCTCCATATCGTCCCTGCCATCCCACGCTCCTTTGCTCAATGGGCTGGATTACACGGTGGACAGTAATTTGGGCATCATTGGGCATGCAGGGCAGGGAGTGAGCCAGACGCTGAGAGCCATGGCTGGGGGACCCACCTCTGACATCTCCACAGGAAGCAGTGTAGGCTATCCCGACTTCCCAACGAGCCCAGCCTCTTGGCTCGATGAAATGGATCATCCTCCTTTTTAAACATCTCTCCTCCCCATCCTACCCGTCCTGGCTTGAGAGAATATCTTCAAGGATCAAAAGAGACTTGCCTTTTAAGGATCAAAAGTGCACCAATGTGAATTTCCATTATTTTCAATGGAAGTCCTCCGCTGATTCCTAGGCGGGCGAGAGACCAGACCACACTAGGGCCCTGTTTCCCTGGGGAAGTAGCGGGAAGGCAGCCTCCTCTCAGGACACAGCACAGGGGTGCAGAGCCTAGAGCGCTAGGGTGCTGCTTGGTGGCTTCCTAACCCCCCCCCCCACTTCCAGGCTTTGGCTGCTCGGTGCTTGGCAGCACAAGGTGACCATCAGGCCACCTTGGCCTTTGGGAACTCTGCTCCAACTGGTGTGTCTCCTGAGATGCCTCCCGAACCACTTCTCTCCACCAGAACTGAGATTCCTGAGGTAGAGGCATCCTGGCCCTTGAGTATAATAAAAGTGATTTCTGGACCACCCTATTGAACTCTAATTTTGAAAATAAAAAGTCACTTATTAAATGTCAGTGAAAACTTTGATGGCCACCGTTTGATATTGAAAACGTCCCCTTCTCCTTCTTCTTCTTTTTTTTTTTTTTGCTGTGAAAAATATGACTTCTTCCCTGCCCAGAAGTACAAGCCAGACAATATTTGTCAGTTTTTAAGAGATCCCATCCCTATCACTGAATCCCTGACGGCAAGAAGTGGTTTTCCTTGCAGGTGACTCAGGCTGGAGCTGAGTGGCCCTGGACCATCACAGCGACTGCCCGACGAGTCCCCTCGGTGCACACTGTGCCTTTTTAATTTGCTCGTATCATTTATTCCACAAGACAGGCTGTGGGTTACAAAGTGATCCAAGCTAAAATACGGAGAGAACAGAAGGACAATCAGCGCAAATGCGCAGGCGCATTTGGATTCTAAGCGTGCGGTCTGCTTAGCCGTGTCAGCGGACGTGCTCCCAGAGCTCCCCATCCCACAGGCTGAAACGGTATTGAGTCTGCTTTGCAGGAGTTGGTGTAGATGAGCTTGCGAGCCCATCCCACCAGCAGCCAGCCCGCCCCAGTCCTTGCAAAAGGAGAGCTTTCTCTGTGGTAGCTGACTCAATTGGACAGTTTTGGTATCTTCCAAGAGCCAGTAATGCTTTTTGGCCCAGCTTGGTTGGGAGGAATCACTTGGGAGCAGCCCTCAGATCGCCCAAAGGGTTCCAAGTGGTTCTTGGGAGGCGTCTCTCTGGGCTGCTGGCTGGACTAGGGCCAGGCCCCGAGGTGCCCCAGGCCTGCGCTCAGGAAGGCCGAGCTCGCCAGCCAGTGGCAGTGAGGGCTCTCAGCTCGCAGGTTTGCTCTGGCCCCTCACCCAGCCTGAGGCCGGAGGCAAGGGCAGGGCCGACCCCTGCTCTACGAGCTGCCCCGCCCCGCCCCTCGGTCTGCGGACCCCCCACGGGGGGACACGCCAGGGTGAGTGAGTGAGTGGCGCCGCAAGTCCTACTTTATGCACTGCACCTCTGTCCGTCAGGAAGTTCTCCAGCGCACACTGCGTGCGGGTTAGCGAGGTGGGCGTCCATTCAGTCCCTTGGGAAACGGTGGCCGGCTTCTTCCGGCCTCCATTTTCTTAGGCAAGAGAGTAGGAAAGGGTAAGAAGGCATTGTCTTTCTTTCACGTGAAGTGACAGGGCCAGAGACCTTAGGGACCCTTCCTTCTGTGAATGCTTCGTCACCTTTTGAGGACCACGGGATTCAGGCACGCGGTGGGCAGGCTAAAGGAAGACATAAAACACCTCCACTTTGGCTGCTGCAGACACCGTAGACTCCTTTCCAGGACTAAACGGAGGTCAGTCAAGCTTCTTTAAAATATGCAGTCAGTGAATTCCCGGGCTCAGCCTTCCGGCCCCATTTGCTCTGCTCAGTTTGGACTGTCCCCTTATTGTCTGGTGTGCTGCATCTACTGTGATTTTTGCTTGGAGAGTCTACAAACGTAGACTTCTTCAGGCTCCAGGGGTGGGGGTGGGGGTGTGTCCCGCCTAGCCAGGTTGCTCCTGGGAATTCCCCAACAGTGGGAGTGGGAGCGGGAGCGGGGACACAGACGAGAAGCCATAGGAAGGAAAGGAAGACCCAACTGTCCTTCTGGAGGACAGCTTCTTCCACACGCTAGTCTCCGCAGGCTGCTCCCAGGATGCAGGAGAAAGACGGTGTCGGGCCGGGGACCAGTGACAAACTGTCCCACGCAGACCACTATCTCGGCTTGACTGTGGCCTAGTGACTCACGAGACCTCAGCGGCACCTCACGTCTCTGGTGCGTACAGTGCAGGGAGGGTAGACTCCCTAGAGAGACAGGCCCCCCTCTCTGTGTGGCACTGGTTTCTTAAGATCAACTGAAGTTGACCTGTTTTTGGTTTTGTATGTGACATCTTCATGCTCACTCCCGATTCAGGGTGGGAGACGGGGAAGCTGTCCTTAACTCCCTCTAATAACACAAGTCTCCTGCAGCCCTCAGTGAGTGGCGCAGTCGATGGGGGGAGCAGCCCCTTGGGTTTTGGTGGGGTCGGCTGGCTTGAAGAGCCCTTGTGAGAGCGCTGGCCAGAAAGCCAGGGGAGCCTGAACAAAGTTCCTGACAGCCACCTCCCCAGGAAGCAGCAAACGCTGGTGCCTCATTTAGAAGTACAGCCCCCTGAGGCCTCAGATTTGAAGTGGGTCTCCTTGCACGTGAGGTTAGCGTATGGACAGGCCAGGGCCACCGGGGAGCCACCGCAAGCCAAGACGATTCCCTGGCTCTTCTGTGGCTCAGAGAGGGAGAAGAACAGAACATTCCCTTGAGGTTCTCTTAAAGGCACTCCTCTAGTGCTCATTATGGTGATAATCTAATGTTATAGTAATAGCCTATTACTGAGCTATAAGGTGCTACATGGGAGCGGTTTCCTCCTTACTAAATCGATATGGATGAATTTTTAAAATGAAGCGAGAACTTCTAGGGGCATTTACAATATTTGGATCTGTCTTTGGCTCTAGGAAGGAAAGAACTAGCAGGCATTATCTGCAGCGCCTGGCTGGTAGACCTGAGGGTAGGAGGCTTCAGAATCCAGGAGCAAATTAAAGACAGAAAGAAAAACAAATCCCCCTCGTCCCAGGTTTCCAGGGGTAATTGGTATGAGCAAAAATGGGACCTGAGCGGCTATGGAAGAATCTACATTTGCCGAGACGTGAGAAAAGCATAGAGGAAATAACCAAATCCAAGGGCTAAGCCGGCCCTCTGGGTAAATCACATGCTGGGGAGCCTGACTCCATGCAGGGACTTGTGTGCAACTCGAGGCCAGCTCCTCTCCATCATGCTTTCTCTTTCCTGCCCCATCTGGGAGTTATGACTATAATATAAGTACCGATAACATTACTCCAGTGAATGAGGACAGTGAAACATCAGGGAAAGAGAACAAGACCTAAGGCAAGCCTTTTGGAGTGTCTTTAAAACTCGGTCTTTTTGTTTTTGTTTTTTTGCCAGCGTAAAACACGAAATCTAGTAAGATCACTGGGGCCATTAGACCTTCATAATGAAGCTCCCGTTGCAAAAAGTGTAAGAAGTCCGTAGAACAAAAGGCACTGATGCGGCTCAAGTTGGTTATTGGGATTGGGCGATACCTGCCTCCTCGCAGGGGGGGCTCTCGGGCCTCAGCTGAGCAGCCGCGCCCTCTGCCAGCGCACGTCCGGCCCCCACGCTCCCACGTGACCCCCCACGCCCCGCCCCCCTGACTGACAACTCGGTTATAACCTCCGAAGTAATGACCAGACCTCCCCAGCCGGCAGGGGCTGGCAGGCCTGAGGAGGCTCATTTTTAAACACTGCACTTTAAAAATTGGAAACCGTGAGATGAAGAAAAATTCAATTAAGCGGAAATGAGTTTTGTTTTATTGGCTGCTGCTGACGGGCTCTGGGCATGCTGAAAGCTAAATAAAAAAGCACATCACTGGCTCTCTCTTTCTTGGACTTGGTCAGTTGGCCCTTTCTGCAGCAGCTGCTCTAACCGAGCTCACACGGTGACTGGAGCCAAAAAGAGAGAGCGTGGCGAAGCCATCCCACCCACACACTGCTTGGTAGGGCCCCACGGAAAGCACAGTTTCCCGCTGCTAGCTCTGCTGAGGAGGCGGCTGCAGGTTTGGGAGGGGTGCCAAGCATTCCTTTCCTTGGGGAGGCAGAGCACAGGCGGACAGAGAAGGACACCCCCGCTCTGGTCTGCTGCCCACCTAGAGGCAAGAATCATTTGTACCTCCCCACATGCGTTCAGGGCTGCAGGCTCCCAGAAGCTGCTCTGAACTTGCGTTCAGACCTCAAAGCCCCAGGTCCCCTAAGCTCTGGTTGCCCTCACCCTTGGCAGTGTAAATTTTGTATAGTTAAAAAGAAATGAAGTCTCACTTCCCGGGGAGAAAAAAAAAAAAGAAAAAAAGAAAAAAAAAGGACCCACCCATCCTTATTTATTGCCATGTGACTTTGGAACACAGAAGCTGGTGCGTTTGTATATGGTTCCTGTGTGTTGGCATGAGATGTGTATGGTAAAATTATGTCAAATAAATATGGAAATTCTTTAGAAGCGGATGTGTCTTGCTTTTCATTTTGGTTCTCTGGATGTTTTTTTCTCTTGATATAATTAGGACAAAAAGCTAAGGCGACGTGGGGTCCTTTTACTATCGGAAGGAAACCCAAATTACAACTCTGAATGCCAGAACGACTTACAGCCATGAATACCAGAAGTGCTCAATAAAGGTTCGATTAGGGGAAGTGCTCTGGTTTTTCTGACAGCAGTTTTCTGGGGCCCAAAATCCTCTGCTCCTAGACTTAGGGGATGGGCAGAGAAAACCCATTGACCACATAATCTTAGTTAATGTTTGTCCTGTTGCATTTTAAAAGTCCTTCCCACTTAAACATTTTCTCCCTAGAGAAAGTATGTGCAAACATCTATATTTGGGCGAGAGGTGGACAGAGGGATACAAACACCTCATCAGAATTATCAGGGCTCCTTGACGAGC